CTCTCCCTCTCCCTCTCCCTCTCCCTCTCCCTCTCCCTCTCCCTCTCACTCTCACTCTCACTCTCACTCACACTCACTCACCACCACACCCACCGCCTTCATCATCACCATCACCTCTCTGGACCCCAATGCGTCTAGATCTCTAGACTTTCTGCTTATAGACCTCACAAACACTGTTTGGGGTCTCTTGCCGGGATAATATGAGAAAGACCGATGACAAGTTCTGAGAAAAGAAGGATATATTATATATATATATATTCGAAGTATAGAAGAGGGAAAGGGAGATGTTGCAGTTCGAACACTAGAGATCTCCAAACAGAGAAATTGTGGGAAAGTATGTAGAGGTATCTGGCGAGGAAGAGAAGTATGGTAAAGCAGAAATAGGGCGAACATAGAAAAGTAGAGATTTCAGGAGAAAACATGTATTCTGGCCATTACACAACAAAGACAAACTGCAAGACTGCAAGCACACATGGGATGCTCCAAATGTTTCATAGGTAAATTATATATGTTTACAAACTTCCGCCGAAATGGGCTTCTTGTCAATTCCGGGGAGAACAAACATTTCACCAGCCACCAACCCTCATGCTACTCAGGAGGTCAAGCGCTCGGCTCAGATGAACAAAGCATACGGCACTGCCTGGTCTGCAGGTCTGTGCGTGCGCAGAGCTCCCTGCAGTGTACTGACTCCAGTAAAATTCCAGGAGGTTCCAACACTACATTGCTACATAGCTGTATTTTGGAACTGTATGAACATGTATGGATTAAAGTGAGAGTGGAGCAAGGAGTCAAAGCCCTGTTGTGCGACTTTGGCATGCTGGGACGCTGCCTGTGGGGCAAGAATTGAGAGAGATTTACAGCGGTAGCCCGATCCGACCCTTTCCTCATTTTACAATGTCTGTATGTATACCGTACACCTGACAACCTTATTCCTGTGGAACGTCCAGGATCAGTCGAAATTGACATGTGAGAGTGATGGGCAACTGATTGATGTTGGGGAGGTGGGCAGCTTTCAAAAAGTAAAGTATGTTCTGGCATGGTCTGGCCCCAATTGGATTCCAGCGTTACTCTCAATGATCTATATCAGCAAGATACAACATACTTATTCCAAATGCCTAAACTGTCCCGCCAAATCAACTCTGCGCCAAAATGCTCTGACGGTTCGGACCACTTGACCACTACAGTCTAAAGTCTCCAACGAGGATGTTCGCAGAGAGGAACTCACGGTGGAGTCAAACTAATTAAACCAGTGTAGCCTGATTGCAGGGTCGAACAATGAGAAAACCTCTGTTCTAATTTATCATTTTCAATTCTAAGAACTCTTATGCACTCTCTCATGAGACTCGTTGGCTGCACCTGCAGCTTGTTGGCTCTGGTTCAGCTTCCTCGGCCTCCGGGAGCACCTCGATACCTGGGGCACTGACGGGAAGCAAACCGTTTGAGGTTTCAAGTTACGAGGTTTCTCGTTGTCTCTGAGTGGTCTCTCTGGATTGTGAATTCTATTGAATGTTACAGTACTTATTTGAGTCGTTGAGACCAGATTTGGGGAACATCTAATCTTTCAATCTCTAATGGGCTTTGTCTTGGAAGAAATGACGAAGAACCCGTAAATCCCACAAAGGGTTTTAAGGAGGGCAACAGTTTCTGTTTCGAAGGGTACCAAACAATTACAAGATCTGGCTGGCACTGTACAAAAGATTGAACATTGGGTTCATTCATGAATCATATTGAATCATATTCTGACTTTGCTCTTGGAAGGGGCGACCCCAGCATTCATCTTTGGACAACAATTACTATACAGTCTACAGTATACAGGACTGCTACAGGACCCCCCCCCACTCTGGCCAAAACAACAGTTTCAAAGCAACAGTGGTGAGGGTTGAGCTGCTTAAAATCTGTTGTTTTAGTCAAGAAAGGCCTTTTTTGTGCCCAATGTGTTGCATGAATGCTCGTGAGCGCAGCCAAGAAACGATCGAATTCGCCGGAAGCCATTCCCTGCAAAGGTTTGAGAAGCTGGTTTTCACTGAGCACTCGTAGCCAACCCCGTGCACGAGGAAGAATCCGGACTACATGGATTGGCGAGTTATGGACAAAGGTCAATTTTGAAAAATATTGGGTTCGGGTATAGCTATGTCGTCTGACCTATTCCTCAGAGACATTGGAGACCAACTCGATATAGCAGACCAGGACCCTGCAGATGCTACAAACATCAAACATCTATTATGGTCACTCGTCGGGGTACGATGCGAGGAACCGGGCTGCGTGAGATGATTACATGGTGCGAGATTTTCTTGGACTTGCTAAGGTTGTCTGTTGACTCCGTGGGATGGATAGGTGTGCTTGCTTGATATCACTCATCCGGCGCAGGCAACCGCTACTTACAGGTGTGGCCCTCACAGCAAAACCTGGACTTGTTTGTCGGCGAATGGTGCTTGGATATGCGCCCTCAACACTGCAAAGAGAGGCATGTGTCTTGTGAGTTGATCACACTTAGGCCTCCCTGTACTCCACAAAGGCAGAGAGGTTCACATGGTTTTGGATCGATGGCGGATTTGGTATACGGACCCGCTGATTCCCAGTGATGGCGCATCCCATTTTCATGAGCTGTACGCAGGCTTCTTGCAACGGTGCTATTGGGGGCAAGAAGCCTGCACGTCAGCTCCAAGACGAAGTCGTGGGCGCCAAATTACACTGCACATGTAGCTTCAACAGCCGGTCGCATCGCCACAGTGTTTTTTTTGCACGGCCCTGGGGAAAAAATAGTACAGCACCAGTTACTTTACCTTCATGACACACGCCTTCCGCCTTCCTATCATGCCTGCTTTGCTGCCACCGAGTTGATTTGCTAAACAACTGCAGCACTAACCACTGGCAGGTGAGCGGCCTGGTCAGCACATCCGAAACCAGCTGTACCCTTTTTCCTGCCCTTCTCTACTTATATACCAACGGCAGAATCTGTGTCCACTGCCTGTAGAATACCATGGAAGGCAAATCGGTGTGCGTTCACACACACTCTTGTTTGAGATGTACACAAAGCAGTTTGTTGGACCTGGACCTCAACACATCT